GTGTGTGTGTGTGTGTGTGTGTGTGTGAGAGAGAGAGAGAGAGAGAGAGAGAGAGAGAGAGAGTAATTAAGGATGACGTCTTGAGATGGAGTGAGGAAAATGTAGGAGGAGTTAAAGGGGGAGGAGTTAAAGGGGGAGGGTACATATGAATGAAATTCTCAGAAATGTTGAAGTTTGAAATGATAATTACTTTTTGTAAAAGGTTAACATACGAAGAACGGAAGACTGGACATCTTTCTTTACCTGGACTTCATCTAAGGAACATGGATTGCACAAAAGCACCCAAGCAATATGCATGGTAGAGATGGGGATTCTATGGGTCTTATGGAGAGCTGTACCCAGTGTGGCCACGTGTTTTTAGACTCTCTCTTCAGCTCATCAGCACACATTCATTCTTAGGAGTGTTTTTCCTTCCTAAGAAGCTATTTCTGTTCCCATTTTTAAGCATGTATTTCTGGTTTAGTCCCTTTTCCCTGGACATGAGAGTGTGGAACTGGCTGTCCTCTGCATTCAGATTCATGGCTCAGCACTCCTCAGCTATTTCCTTGACATTCACAGTTTCTAGGAACTCTGTGGTGAACTGAAAAGGCTAATTTTTCTCCATCTCCTCTCCTCATGGTGGCTTCCAGATAGTCTGTTTTCGTACACTGTTGTTTTTCTCTCAACATCTATTGAAATTGTCCTCAAGTTTTCTTTTCAGATGGTTTTAAAATTGGTTTTCTAATGGGACTAATAACACTCATAGGGAAATTCACCTCCTTAGTACAGTGTTAAAAAGACTGCTCTGTCACCTAGACCTCCTTGAAGCCTCCAGGAGCAGGTTTTGGTACTGGCTGCAAGTACCTGTGGAGCACGGTGCACCGACCACACAGATGTAGAAGGCTGTATCCTCCAGCTGGGCGGCTGTGATATGCAGGGTGCTGTTCTTAGCATCTGCATCCAGAATTGCTGAGTATCTTCCATTTGACTTTTTGTTCTCACTGTTTGTCATGAGTGCCAGGGACACAAGACTTCTGCCTGTGTCTTGTCTGTACCACCTTAAGTTGTTAGCAGGGCTCACAGTGTAATTGCAATGAAGGATGCAATTCTCTCCTTGCAGGACAACCAGGGACTTGGGACTCTGCTCCACTTGGGTCTCGCCAGCAGCCCCTACTCATAAAACAGTGTGAAATTTCAGAAATCAATCATTCATACTTAGTTTCTTGTAGGTTGTATCCTTTACTCTCTACGTGAATCTCGGGTGATCTAGGATTATGCATATTTCGCTTCCTCCACTTATCCCAAGGAATTATATCTTTGCCAAAATCCTAAGAAAATGTTCTTTGGTATCCTATGGTCCCCAGCTAAAACCTCCTCTAACTTACACTGAAAATACAGCCACAAAACAACCGAGCAGGCACTCAGGTGTGTCTCCATTGTTGTTTTGTAGAAGTTTGCCCCCAAAGCCACTGCCTATTTCATCAGCTCTTTCTTGTAACACACAGAAACTATCAGGAAATACACCGGCCAATCAAAGACCTGATTGGCTGTATCACAACCAATCAGCTGTATCACACATCAGCTTCTGACAACAGGACCAGAGCAAGTACTGCCATCTTGGGGTCAGAGCTGGACTTGCTCAACCTTTGCCTAAACGTTTGTCATTCCTTTTCACTGCTGACAATGTGATACAGGATATAAATCCTCACGTATGTGTAGAGACATGGTAGAGGGTCAACTAGAAACTATTTTAAGACCTCAATTCAATTTTGGATCTCAATAGGACGTTAGATATGATAGGTAATATTTACTTTCAACTTCTGAAAGTAGATCCTTAATGTTTTTTCAAAGTTTGAATATAAATTACTTATGATGGGGGCTAATGATAATGACTGAACTTGGTCTGAACATAACATATAAATTCCTTTAGAATGTGACTTTTCTTCAGTTTGATTTGCTATGTGTCAAAATAAATTTTGTTAAAGATACATTAAAATTGTGTTTAAAAATAAATATTTTTATTAACTCTTTGACAACTTCATGTTTACTTACATTATATTTTTGAGTGAATGTTAAATAATGATATTACAGAAATGATAGGATTTTTAATCATCCATTACTAGTTCAACAATACTTTTCAAGACCCATTGTTGTCAAATATCATCATAAATGCTAAGGGTTATCAATTCTCATGCTTCTGAATTGCACATGAGTGGGGAAAAGTCAAGCGTCTGACACAGGTACTGACAAGTGGTAAGTGTTGAAGGTCTAAAAATTCCTTCCTTAATGCTTCTCATTTCTCAGAGCAATTGAAGCCAGTGAAAATATGGAAGTTGTTTAGATGAGTGAGGATTTACTATACATCTGAGATCAATGCATAGAAATGGAGAAAACAAAAGAAGGGAAACATATCTTGCCTGAAAAATCAAAAGGAAATAAGAACAATCCACTCACACAGGACAATATAGGATTCTAGGAGAGAATTCTAAGAGGTAAAGACAGTGTGATCACTGGTTTTACGACAGTGTGGCCGGGCCTTAGTACCCAGATACTAATCCAAATCTAATACTAATCCAAATATCACTGTGAAGTAAGTGGATCTCCTGTGGTCATTTGAAGGATTTAAGAGAAAAATGATAGTTGGTCATAGTCACTTCTGCCTCTAATGTCAACACTTGGGAGGCAGAGGCAGGCATATCTCTGTGAGTTTTAGGCCAGCCTAGTCTACATAGTGAATAGAAATTCTGTCTGATTTACTAAGATAGTGACCTGTCTTCTACACCTTAGTGTAGCCCCTCCCTTCAGGTCTTCATGTTGCTGTTTGCACGTGAGTCCCTATGCTTCCTCCTTTCATTAGGAATTCCACAGGGCTTTACCAGGGAAGGATCGCAGCTTTCCAACACCTTTCCTTCCAGACTCTGTCAGGCCACATTATGCAGATGTCTCTTTCTCCAGCATGTTGGATTGACTGAAGATAGACAAGGTTTAAGATGTGGCTCAGTGGCTCAGTGGCTCAGTGGCTCACTTGCCTGGCATAATAAGGCTCTGTGTTCTCTCCAGCACTGCAGGAAAATAACTTAGGATTTGGCCCCAGAGTCCATTTCATTCTTCAAATGGTTTGTGAAATGATGTGGCATGGCGTGAGAACATCTGTATGGTTTCCACCAACAGAGAAGCATAAGGTCACATAGAACAGAGTGTGAGGAGCTGAGTCATAGGGATTTCAAAGGCGGGTGCTCAGCAGCCAGCCCACCTGCTGCCTCTTAGTTTGTGCTCAGCTCCCCCTGCAGTTTCTGCCGCTGTGTCTCTCAGAGCACAGTAGTACACAGCCGAGTCAGATTCTTGAACTGAGGCTTTCTCCAAGTGGAAGGAGCTGGATCCTTTATCATATGTGGCTTCAAATCCTCTGCTGCTTCCCTTTGCACCAGCCGTAATGACTTTCAGGAGGAACTGTAGACTTTCTCCAGGATATTGAACATACCAGAAAAGAGCAGGAGACGCTATATTTGTGATTATATATGTGCAGTTTATTGTCAGGAACCCACCTTCTGAGATGGTAACTTGGCCTCTTGTTTGAGTCACAGAGTCTCCTTGGGTCCTTCCTAGAGAGCAAGGAGAGGAGAGAGGGGGAGAGTGAGTTCTGTGTCACCTTGAGGATAATGCTTTAGATAATGTAAGGCTAAAAACTTGGCTATTTAAATCTATTTACTTACCGAATATGAGGAGTATTGCAATCACAAAGCCTGGAGAAGAGTCCATTTTTAGTGTTGCCTAGAATGGTCTTGATGCTTAGAATGAAGAATTGCTAGCTCAGAGAAAGGATGAGTCCCTTTCAGATACAAATCACACAGGAAATGAGCCTGCCTTAGGAAACTGCACCCCCTGGAGGACAGGAACTGAACTGAGAATGGGTGTTACCCTGTGCCTCCTCCCTGGTCTTAATAATAAGGTATATGTCAGTCTTTAGGCCCTTGTACATGTAAGGACAGCTATAATCTTGCCCCTGTCAGAATGGTCAAGATCAATAAAATTAATGACAGAACATGTTGTTGGGGATGTGGGGAAAGAGAAACACTTATTCACTACTAATGGTAGTACAAACCTGTACAACCAATCTGTAAATCAATGTGGTGATTCCCTGGGTTGCTGGGAATAGATCTACCTTAAGATCTACCTATACCACTCTTGGGCATAAGCCCAAAGGACTCTACACTGTACTATAGAGGCACTTGTTCATCCATGTTCTTTGCTCCCCTATTCACAGTAGGAAGGAACTGGAAACATCCTAGATGTCTTTCAACTGATGAGCAGATGGTGACAGTGTAGTACATTTACCCAATGGAATATTATTCCACTAATAAAACTAAAATTATGAAATCTGAAGGTAACTGGATTGAGCTTTAAAACAATCAAGCTGAGTGAGGTACTCTAGACCTAAGAAGACAAAAATTGCATGTTTTCTTTAATATGTGGACATTAGCTTTCAAGATTTTGATAGGCAATCCAAATAATCACCAAAGTTAGGTACCAGATAGGGGACTAGGAGGGAGGAGAACAAAGAAGAAATAGAATATAATGCTATGTAAAGACAAAAGAAAAAGTAGAATAGGTGAACTAAATAGGGAGGGAATGGAAAAGAAAGGTAAAGGAAGAAATGTGGGGATGGACAACTAATACAAAGTCCATTTTAAAAAGCATATGAGAACCTACTATTATATAAGCTTCTTAAGGCATGAAGAATGCATATATGTATAAATCTAAAATAGAGCAGACAATGCCCAACTAGACATCATACATCACCAAGTAAAACCTATGATGCCAGGAATTGGTTACATCTTGCTGAGTTGTTGGCCAAAGAAGCCCCTTGGAACCACTAAACATTTCATGCTATTGCCAAAGCTATTCATTATTCTCTACAATTTAATAGTAAGTCATTATTGCTGAATACAGACTTTACAAATGTCATCAAACATAGAGAAGCTGAACTGGTGCCTAACTAGAAACTTGTCTCCTTATTGACTAGCATTCATGTTACTGGAAGGAACTTCCCACATTATCAGAGAAGAAAGGCAATCACCAGTATCTCCCAGCTACAAACCCTGAGAACTGTAACATTACCTTCCTACAAGACATACTAGAGAAACAGTGTCACAAAAGTTAATGAGTAACCAACTACTTCTGGATTGGATTTAAAGCCACTCCCTGAGATATGACCCATTCCTGACTCCACTAAAGTGGCTAGGAGCCTGAATTTAGGTAGGTAGGACAAGGACTTAGGGGCAAACCTACTACTACTATTCTGCTAAAGGAACATAGCAATAAAATGACCCCTAATAGCATTATGCTATGCCCATAGACTGGTTTCTTACTCAGCCTTCATCAGAAAAGCTTTTTCTAACAGTATATTGTATTTAACATAGATACCCACAGCTGGTCATTGTACAGAAAGTGAGAGACATTGGAGCATTCAGTCCTAAATGAAATTTGTTCATCAAAGTCCTCCCATTCAAAACCTCAGAGATCTATGTGGAAGAGGAGGCAGAAAGACTTTAAGAGCCATGGGTGATGAGTGATTCCAAGGGAATGGTGTCTTCCAGACACAACCATCTTGGTATACTTGTAAACTCAGAGACATTGTGGCAGTATGTACAAGAGCAATACAGATTCAGCTAGACACGGTTCCTGAACTGAGAGGGAGAAGTGGACACTGGGCCCCTAATCAAGAAGCTATGTGCAATTAATACCTGGTGGGTAAGATGAAAATCTCCCAAAGAGTTTCCCTGGTTATATCAACCAAACTCCAGGGTATATCAACCACATTGCCCAGAAATTTTTGCCCAACACAAAATTAAATCAATGCTGTTTTTAGATTTTTTGTTTCATTTTGATTTGCTTTGGCACTTTTATCCTCTTTATCTTTTTCAGGTTTTTGTTTCTTTGTTGTAGCATGCTCTTTCAGGCCTTCAACCCCCAAATCATGACAGGAAATTGGAAAAAATGAAATTTATGCCTTGGCAATGCTGACATATGCATGTGCATCCCATATAAGGCAGTTATGTTGAACTTGTCCATCTTGGGTTTCATGGTCTAAACTGATGAGGATGACTGACCAGGTCTGTTCCTCAAAAGGGCACCAGATCTCATTAGAGATGGTTGTGAGCCACCATGTGGATGCTTGGCCTTAGCTTATGCTTGTTTCTGGCTTTTTTCTCTTTAATTAAAATTAATCTACTTCTCTTTATCTGCATTCTGTCTCAGTGCTTTTTTCCCCCCATTCCTTTACTCTGTATGTCTATTTGGAAAATTGCCTGACTGACCTCAGGTATCTTCCTCTCTTTCTCCATCCTTTCTTCTTTTTTCTTCATCTTGATTCTAGATTCTACTTACTACTAATTCTCTGTTCACCAGGCCTGACTATCCCTCTTCTCCCTAGTTGTTGGCCATTCAGCTTTCATTAGACCAACCGGGTACCTTAGGCAAGGTGGTATAGGGGCACATTTTTATGTAATTAAACAAATGCAACATAAACAAAAACAGCAGAGTTTTACATAATCAAACAAAAACAGCACAAATAAATGCAAGACGCCTTTACAGTGTTAAATCCATAACAGTTTGTAATTTTATTTTTTGTAAGGTACATTTTAGTTACTTGGGGTTTTTTTATTATTTTTTTGGAGAGAGAAAAGGAACACAATGTTGGATGGGTTAGGAGATGGGGAAAATCTGGGAGGAAATTGGGAGGGCAAAACATTATCAAGTTATATTGTATAAAAATATTAAATAAAAAATATTTTGAAAAAGCAGGAACACACCAAACCCAAATCAACTACACAAGAAGAAATAACAAAAATCAGAGCAGAAATAATGAAATAGAAACAAAGAAAGCAGTACAAAGAATCAATGAGTCCAACAACTGGTTCTCTGTAAAGATAAATATAATTAATAGACCTCTGACTCAGAAGCTTCCCAAATTAACAGAATCAGAAATGAATAGGGAAATATTATGCCATACACCAAATAAATTCAGAATTAGGGGAATACTGTAAACCTGTACTCCATTTAGTGAGAAAATATAAGACAAATGAATAAATGTCTTGATTCTTCTAAACCACAACACTTAACCAAAAGGAGACCAAAAATGTAAGCATACCTGAAACAAATAAGGGAATTGAAGCAGAAATAAAATCCCTTCTGCCTAAAAAGGTCCACTCCAGATATACTGGAAAGCAAATTCCAACAAGATTCAGCATCTTTTTCCTTTATGCATATCACAAACACTTACATATTGCACTGAAAAAAGAACACACTAGAAACATAAGGAAGAGACAGGAGAATATGATATATTTTTGGACAAATGAATGAAGGAAGTGAAATAAAAATGTCAGAAACATATTTCCCCAAGATACATACTGTCTCCACTAGGAGCTTCTCTACTTCTAAATACAGTCAAATATAAGAATCCTTATGAATCACAAATAAGTTATCAGATGTTGAGTGGAAAGAAAAGTAAACCCTTTGTTAGTGCACTTCACTAGAAAGATATGGAGTATGTGCAGCCTTATGAGTCATGATCATTCTTTGAATATCATGAGTCAGAGGTTAGGAATTATAGGGGATGATTTAAACATAAACAGCTTCATTCCACAAATGATTTTGCAATTAAGACATCAAAAATTCAGCCTAGTGTAGTGGTTCTTTTCTATAACTCAAGCCCACCGGAGGTGCAGGCAGGAAGAGCAGGAGTTCAAAGTCAGCCTCAGCTTCATAAGGAGCACAAGGCCAGCCTGGGCTACTGGAAAGACATCTCACAAAACAAAAACAGAAACAAAGAAAATCACCTGATCAAGCCTAAAGTAAGGCATTCTCACTAATGTGTTCTTAGAATTAATTTGTATGGTTTACACTGTAGCAGTGCCTGAGTGTGTGGTGAGTGTAAATAATAGTAGATCTGTCCTTGGTCCCTAAATGAGTGATCTCAGACACACTCAGCAGCCAGGCCTGTGCTTCCCAGAGTTTGTGCTCAGCTCCCCCTGTGGTTTCTGTTACTGTGTCACCCAGAGCACAGTAGTACACAGCCGAATCTGACTCTTGGACTGAGGATTTCTGCAAGTGGAAGGAAGTGGATCCTTCATCATATGTAGCTTCAAAACCTCCGCTGCTTCCCTTCTCGTTGGCCTTTGAGACTTTGAAGAGGAGCTTTGGACCTTCTCCTGGGTACTGCACATACCAGAACAGGGCTGGGTACTGTTTGGTTTCATAGGAACAGTTCACAGTCAGAGAGGTCCCTTCAAAGAGTGTCACTTGGCCTTCTGTCTGAGTCACTGAGTCTCCATTGCTTTCTCCTAAAAAGAGAAATTAATAACAATTCAGTATAGGTCACCTTAGATGACCGATATTCTGCCTCATAGGAAAAATTGTTCTTAAAATATATATTAATATCATAGAACAAGACAGAAGCTCCATGTGTCATTCTACTTACCAAACATTACGAAGAGTGCAATCACTAGTTCTGGGAAGTAGTTCATTTTCTGAGTCACTGGAGTATGTGAATCTTAATTTCTTAAGTTAGGGAAAGGTTAAGGTCTTAGTGAAAGGATAAATGTGAGCCGAGAATTAAACAGGAAATGTGTATGTGTTAGGTAGATGCACACACCCCCAACCTCCTTTTCAGGCAATTTTCTAACCTCAGAAGATTGTTGACCTATATTCTCAAAAGTCAGTGATTGAGTGCCAATCTTAGCTCTTTTGTTTTGTCTGAC